GAAGGCCAAATCCACTGTACCCTGTGTGAGTGTGCCACCGACTCAATGGGAAGGCCAAATTCACTGTACCCTGTGTGAGTGTGCCACAGACTGGAAGGATTTTTTTCAAAATTGGTACATTATAAGATATGCATGTCATTTTGTTCTTCAAATCAGATTCAAAATAACCAACTGGAAGCCATTTAGTTTCAATGAATGCTGTACGTTCCAGAGCCATATCTCTGACATGCTTTGACCGTTCATGTTCAAACTTTATAAAACATCATAAAACTGTACATCACGTCACACATTTGACAATGAAATTCAAGATGGCTGAATGGCAGCCATTTTAATGTTAAAAATTTAATGCATCAGATCTTGGTTTTTTAAGGAGAACTTTTGGTACATACCGGTACATTGAACAGAATCTTGATGTAAGTCTGCTTTCTGTGAGTGAAATTTGAACCAATCCATTATATTGTTATAGTTTAACACTGACTTTTACAATTACAGGATTTAATGAGAGCAATAAGTATTGGTGTAACAGAACTAGCTGTGCATGCCCTAGATGCTGGTGCTGATATTAACCTTATAGTTAACGTAAGTCAATTATGACAGCTATTGTCAACATACGTACTCTAGGTGATACCTTATCACATGATCATGGTGCATATCATTCTTAAGAGTTATGCTTAGTGTGAAATATCACTGACAATTATTTTACACTAAACATGCTGATGTGATGCTGAACGTTGTCAGTACGTGAAGGGAACCATATCGTGTAACAATACCATTTTCTCATGGTATCACTATGGTATCAACAATTTCAGACTGGATATATGAGGTTATTATGAGGATACCTCAAAGTATGCACAAAGACAGTACAGTGGGAGTATCGACCGAGGCACAGCGAAGGTCGATGTGATGGTGTACTGTCTGAGTGCATAATTTGAAGTATCCTCGTAATAACCTTTAATATTATTATTATTATACACCTTTTTTTTCCAAGGATACATCATTGGAATGCCGAAATTCTAAAAGTTGGGAACAGAATCCGCGAACTTCTTTGTGTGGCGTCCGGTCAAACCCTGGTGTTAGCCATGTTTGTTTTTATTATTAGAGGACGCTTACATGTGTAATCATTCCATATTTGGAATTCATATACTTTATATAGTAGGATGAAAATACCCTGTAAAATACCGCAAAATTATGGCATGCTGTAACTTATGGTGATATATGTATAATAATAATGATTGTTTGCAAGGTGCAATGAGAATATTTCACATTAAAGGGGTAAAAAGATACCTAATATACATATTTGTAGAGCTGGTTAAGATACACACGGCCTCACGGAATGTATTAACCACTCACTTATGGTTCATAGAAAATACTAACCTATGAAGTTACTTGTATCAACGTACTCTACAAACAAGTGATATCAGGTGATATCCTCATAATATTTGCAAGAGTGACAGTTTTACATACACTGTAACCTCAATATAATGAACACCTTTATAATGAATTTCCTGATATAATGAACACATAGCATGTCTCCCACTCACAACAAACCCAATGTATTATGAGCTTCATTATAGTGAACATTTCACTATAACAAACTAATTGTATGTCCCCCAAAGAGTTCGTTATAACGAGGCTACAGTGTATAGTTATACTTCACTCTTTAATCACAAAAACCATATTTCACTATACATGTATGTTAATAATGTCAATAAATCTGCTGTTATACAGTGAATTTCATGAAGGCATGAATGTTTTTTTTTCTATAATTTATATAAGTTTTATAAATTTCAAATGACGGTTGAAAACAACTTGACTGATCACAAAATACTAACAGATGCGCAGCAGGAAATCAGCCAATGTTTGAAGGA